TTTATATGACTGTACATTATACATTTATTTTAATAATTGTACTTATACGTATTTGAAAATATAAAATACAAATATAGAAACAATAAAACAAAAAATCCGATGTACGCAACAAATTGAAAATATTTTTAAAAAAATTGAAGCCTAAGTACATAATAGAAATAATAATATACTTTCTAGGTTTTTCATCGTCGACGGTAGTTTTTGCTAATAGTTAAACATTAAACAAAGAATGAGCGCACACATGTACAAGTATATTAAAGTGTATCGGTTATAGTCGTGTATAATGTGTGTGATGACGACAAACTACGCTCAACAGTTCTAATTTCCGTTTCTACTTCAATAAGTATCTGCAAATGTGTATTTAGTATCATTTATATGCGTAAATGTAGTATATTTTGTATGTATGTGAGTTAGAGCTTGCGATAAAGCAGTTTTGAAAGGAAATACTGCTACGTTTTGCAAATAGGCAAAATACTAAGAAATACCTGCAGAAATGGTAATTTTCACTGTTCATACTTGAGTATCACTTACTTTCGACGAATGATTTGTTGAAACGACATGTTTATTTCTGCGTGCCATAAAGTAAAATTTCTATATGTAGTCGGTCCAAATTATTCATAATAATATTATTTTCGGATACTAGCCAATCGACACTCCGTAAACTGGTGAACTGTTTAAAGTTCGTACGAGAATAACATAGGAGAACAAGTCACTATTAACCTTGGAATTCCTTTTCTGTATTTGTTATTGTTTATTGCTATTTTGATTCTTTTTATGAGCGATCATCGCGGAATAATCGGAAAGTAAAGAAAAAGTTAATAAAGGAAGGACGAAAACTTTCACCGTCATGTGTAATACTTAAGAAATAGATCGATTAACACCAAAAGTTATTTCAGCGGCAAAATTATTTTAAACAAATCCTTTAAATATCTACCTTTCTACCTACTCGTCAATATATAAATGAATTATTTCCTTTTCGATTAATTAAACTAAGAAAATTAAGTGTTCTGAGGTGAAATATTGAGATAACCCTAGTGTTAATAATAAATAAAAACTGTTACCATTATTATAGCATAATCATGAATTTGCCCGTCAGTCTCAAACTAAGTATAAAATACTAACGGATTATTTGGTCCCTACGTAATTAAATCAGATAATTAAAAAAAAATGGAATTTTATTAGCTGTCTGCGTTCCTCAAATATAATAAAAGTACCTAAAAGATAAAAAGTGTTGTATGTTGTTTACTAGAAACATTAAAAATGTAAAATGATGTAACTTCATACTTTCAAAAATAAGTTTTGTTACTCGGAGTCAGTATAAATGTGTACTAATTTTAATGAATCATTCTGGTTGTGTTTTCCTTAGGGTTTTATTAAGTCATGACTATATCAAATATAACATGACACGCGCATAATAATTATTGGATTATTTTGTATTTAACAAATTTGTTATACAAGGGCAAATCTACATAGTTTTGTTTATAAAATCACCCTCCCCCTAGGTTAAATACAATATTTTTTACTAAAAGGAAAAAGGATAGGTAACAAAAATGATACAATAGCATACCTATCCGCATTTTAGTTGAATAAATATTAAAACGTGTTATCTAATCGCATTTTTCACAAAATAATTTGCGTAGATATAAATTCACTTTCGAACGTTAACAATTTTTTTTCAATAATTTGAAAGTATAATTGTGTAGTAGTTTCATAATTTACTGTAATAATAATTCAGTAAAAACAGTATAAGTTTATTACTAAATAATTTTTGCAGATTTTAGACTGGGTGTAATAAAATTAATAATGTGATAAGATTATACATACGTTTTATTAAATTTGAAAAAAAGACATAGACTAAAGATTAAACAATAAGTGAACGTTTTTATGAAATTATTTTCTACATCACGAATTGTTTTCGGAACAGGCCAAAGTACATTTAATATAATGCTAATAGATCTTAAAATAATTTGGTTTAGAGAAACAATTGACTTTTTTATTGTTTTTTGGAAATCCTTTCGACAAAAAAAATGTGTAATTTCTATTTTCGGTAAACTTTATAGAAAATGTTAAATGCTTCGCAAAAGCTCCTAATATATATTTAAAATTAATAATCAATTATAAAACATTTTATGCGTTCATGTTTTTCAAGTATCAGCTTATAATATTCGTACGTACTGACCTAGTTTTTGAATCAATTTCATTATTACCGATTACTATGGTAATCAGAATGATATTTAGAAAAACTAATGGTTAAAGAGTAAATTGAAAACAAATCTACAAAACAAGCAAAATGGAAATTTAATCGCGATTGTTAAATTAAATGGTCAAATTGTATTTATTGCTGTACTTCATTTTTTATTCGCACATAAAGCATGTTTGTCATATAAAAGAAACTATTAAGCATTACTTATTGCCTTTTTATTGTAATGCACAACTGCAAAACATTTGTAGTTCAAGTGAATCATTTTTTATCGGAATTAGGTGCACTTATTATACTTATAACAAATTTTAGGGGCTGATAATTAAAATAAGCATTACACGTTCTTTTTATAAATAAATACCGTTTAATTTTTTTATTTTTAAATTCTTTAGTTTACTCAATATTCTATCAACTAATTGGCATTTAAATTTTATAACGTGCATGAAAAATAATCCGCATATTATGAAATTTATTTAATTACTTTGTCAAGATTATTGAAACTAAAATTAATGAGAATGAATATAATTTATTCAACATAAATGTAAATGTACGTATNTAATGTATAAAAAAAGAAACAACTTATCCCTACTAATTATTCTTAAGAATATATTTTTTACTAAACATTCTGAAATACATAGCAAAATTTATTTATTTCTTTATTAACCAGTATTACAACTGAAGAACTTAATACAATGGTAATTCGTACAGAGGTATTGTAATATCTATGTAGGTTTTTAGTATCTTACTAAATAAGAAATTATAAAACTAAGAACACTGTAACTTTTACACACTCATGTATTTATTTCTTTTAGAATTTCAGAAAATTTATGATCGTTTAGATATTAAGTTAACAGAAATGGGCGAATCGTTTTATCAGACACATATGGAAGATGTAGTTAAATTATTAGAAAACAAAGGTCTTCTAGAAAACGATAATGGTCGCAAAATAATGTGGGGCGACAAGGAAATTCCCATGACTATAGTTAAATCAGATGGGGGATTTACCTACGACACTTCTGATATGGCAACGATTAAGTATCGTATTGATGAATTGAATGGCGACTGGCTTATTTATCTCACCGACGCTGGTCAAGCAACACATTTTCAACTCCTTTTTAAATGTGCCGAAAATGCAGGATTTTTTGATAAAAAGAAAGTCAGACTTGATCATGTTACTTTTGGCGTAGTTTTAGGAGAAGATAGGAAAAAATTTAAAACGCGATCGGGGGACACTGTAAAATTAATAGACCTATTGGACGAAGGATTAAAAAGAGCTCTTGATAAGCTGAAGGAGAAAGAGAGAGATAAGGTTTTAACTCCAGAGGAATTAAAGCAAGCCCAAGAAGCAGTGGCTTACGGCTGTATAAAATACGCTGATTTATCCCACAACAGAAATCATGAATATGTCTTCTCATTTGATAAAATGTTAGAAGATAAGGGTAATACAGCGGTGTATTTGTTATACGCTTACACTCGTATTAGATCAATAGCGAGGAACGCTAATATTGATTCGGAAAAAATGAAGGAGCTCATTGAAAAGCACAATGTTTCTTTAGATCACGAAAAAGAATGGAAGTTAGGGAAGGTTCTACTTCGTTTTCCTGATGTACTTTTTAAAATTACTGAAGACTTATGTTTACATCATCTTTGCGAATACTTGTACGAAATATCGTGTGCTTTTACTGAATTTTATGACTCTTGTTATTGTATTGAAAAGGATAGCTCTGGAGACATTGTTAAAGTTAACGTGGGAAGAATTTTGCTTACTGAAGTAACAGCTCTTATTATGGCAAAATGCTTCGATATATTGGGTGTAAAACCTGTTTCAAAGATGTGAATAATAACAAGATGCTTTTCCCTATCATGATTATTTATTTTATACCACGCTACAGTTATTAAAAATGTAAATTTATTAAAGTGTGAAAGCATTTTGAATTTGTTTAACATCTTGAAAAATAAATCAATCACAAAGTAACGAGCCATGTGTTTAGCCGCCCCGTAGTAGTAGGCGTAGAATGTGGAGACCATTAACTTGATATTTTTGCTAATTTCTTAACTTGGGGGAAACACAGGAGCTACTTAGCATACCCCTAGGATGATATAGTAAAAATTGTCAAGTAGGAATTTTAGTTGATTATATTGAACCACTTTTGATTATTCCGTATTTTATATCAGATTTTATTGATATGGTTGTAGTAAGCACGCCAATTAGATATTCCCACCAAATATTTAAAATTTGAACAAGTTTAGGGTATTTAGTTTAAGGTAGTGGTATATTAAACGGAAACATGTCGAATGCCACAGAGAAGCCGAAACAACAAGTTTAGTTATTTTTCTTATCTATGGATATTTTTTGAGGTTATTAATTTAAATCGCGTTCTCTCTGCAAGGGTGAATTCTTATTAAATTATAAATAACAAGTTTATTCATACTTTTGAATACTGTATAATGACCTACAGAAGATATGCCGTTAGAACACCTACTAAGAGGTTTGTGTATTTATCATTGGTTACTTAGTAAATAAATAATATTTCTTCAAACAGGGAAACGAGTAGTATAAGTAAAAGAGCAGAGTTTTCCCCTGCTTTAAGCAAGATATTCCAAGAAAGCGAAAGACAGAGAAAAATACAGAAGTGTATTACATGGGGAACAATAAACACATGCATTCTTCTTCTAATTTTATTTGATTTGTAAGTTGCCATATAACCACTATATTATTCATTTTATTATTATTTTTTAATTTACATTTCTACTGTTTTTTGCAGAGCATTTACTTGCACATTACATGCTTCCTACATACAAACCATAGAATATTTCTTGAGTGGTATTTTAAGTCTCAACATTCTATATTATATCATTTGTTGCCCAGGAGTAGTCTTTAAATACGAAACCTTGGATGTTCCCCCAGTGGAATCACCAAAGAAACAATCACCTGAGCAACTAATTCCACGTATGTTACTTTTCTAAATATTAATTTAAGAAACTTCATTTTACTTTTTCAACAGCAAGTAATACTGTAACATCTTTCCATGCATCAAAAGATAGTTCTCCAAATTTTTCCATTTTAAGAAGAACACCAACGTCATCTTTCTCTAGCACACCCATTAATTTATCAGCTGCAAGTTGGAGATCAACACCAGGTAAACAGCTTTAAAAGAAAAACCAAATAAAACATATTGTTGAAGAATATATTTTAGGTTCAATGTATTCCCCTTTTCGACAAAATAAATCACAAGAAGAGAGGCTATCAGCAGATAATCTTCTTCTTCCTAATACCTCAGACATTGAAAATATAAGTGATTCTCAGTCACTTAATCAATATTTAAGCACTTATGAAGAATATGATAAATTAAGTAATATTAGCAAACCTGCCGAGCCCACAAATAGTTTACTTAATTCATTTTGGAATTATCCTGGTATGAAATCTGGGAATGATGTTTCACCTTTGTTTAAGAGGACTCAATATCAACTCTCTTTTATGCCAGGTAATTAATTGTAACTAGTACTAATATTAGTATAATAATAAGAATAATAATAATCATTTTGTAGTTACAATTATCTAATTTTTAGTTTCTTCAAGTAGTCCTGGTGCTAATTCTGATGACAGAGGATCACCTAAAGTATCATTGCAAAGCTTAGAGGTTTGGAAGCAAATAAATGTCGATCCACATATGTTAACTAGATGGACAGGTAATCTTAGATCGGTAAGTTATTGATTGTTTAATAAACAATTATGTGATTAAAACAATTTTTTGGAAACGTTTAGCAGTAATAATTTTACAGTTTGCCCCAAAATTAATTTGTAGAAAGCTTATAAGTCAAATAGAAAAGTTATCTGTGGTTTTTGATTAATTTAAGAAAACAAAGAAATATAAAACTATCATCCAAGTCCTAATCATTTAAAAATATTCCTATTGTAAAAAATTTATGATTCTTTTCCATTGTAAATAAATGATATTACAATGCCCACATTATTGGAAATCATATATGTTTCAATTTAAAATATTTCAGTGGATTTCAAAAACAATTCTCGAACGTATCATGAGAGAAATAAATTTGACGAATGAAAAACTAGAACAAAACGGACTGGGAGATGTTTGCATTGGTCGTGCAAGTTTGGAAACTTTACGAAAAAATTCACAAACTCCTGCTGTGTTACAATTCGCCCCAACACTTCCTACCCTTGTGCCATTTCTAGAAGTAACGTCAAATCAAGAGTACCTTATAAAACGCATACGAGATCTAACTAAAGGGGGCAGTATGAGCGAATTCAAATGGAACGGAGGATGCAGCTTTAAAGGAAAACAATGGGACGATTCGTTACCTACAGATGCTCAGGTAAGATACATACTTAAATATAATAACTAACAAACAAAATGAATTAACTGAACTAAAAGACCAATTACAGTAATTTCAGAATTTATTTAATATTATTGCTTTCGTGTTTTTGAAATTCTGTTATCGCTGAACAGTATTTATTCGTTTAATTAAAGTTTTATATGCTTTTTTAGATAATTATGCATCTTTTTGTGTCTTATATGGACGCTCAATTAATTCCTTTGCCCAACAAGCCTGACGCAAAACCTTTCAGTAGCAGTCATTTTATTAAATCAACCGAAAGAACTGTTGAACTTACTTCAAATACCATAGCACTTCGGGAATTTATGACTAAACCCCCACATTACCAGGTGATTATTGGGGATAAAGTGTACGAAGTTTCCAAGGTAAATTTTCCTAATTTGAATAGCGATCTTATCTAAGTACTTCTTATTTTAGGGATACAACAATTTGTTTCATTCCATTTTGTTATTTTTGTACTATGTGAATGCAAAAGAAGATGGTATGTTAGGCAGTGTTAATCTAGGACGATCAGGACTTAACATATTGTGGATTATTCAAAGTTGATGTAAGATATTTTTTGTTTAATGATAATATAATGAGACTGTAACTTTATTAATTCGTATTTTTAAAAAAGCACACCTTTTCATCGATAAGGTAACTTCTTAAAGTTCTATAATATAATAATTTCCTTTTTATTTATTTTAGAACGAAAATGTGCTTCCTTCCCCAGTTGCTTATCATACATAAAGGTTAGTAATTTTCTGTATTAGTACCTTTATGGATTGAATTATAAATACTTTTACATGTAAGTTTTGATATTATAACTAAATGAAATTTACAAATTTCGTTCTAAATCGAAATGAATGGTATAAAGGTATATAAAAAAGACAAGCAGTGCCAAGACGTCTAAGATAGGAATAAACTGGAAAGAAAAAGGTTTAGACTAGAAAACTTTTAGTTAAAAATGCAAGACATACAAACAGATCTATTGCATTTGGAGATATACCAAATGTTTAGCTCAATACAGGAAGGATGATGGAAGGTTACTTCCAACTGTTTTTTTTTTTTTTTAATAAGGATTTAAACTTTAATTTAAAAAATACTAAAGTAAAATATATTGCTTTTTATTAGGTTTCAGTAGAAAGATTTACAACTATCACAAGTGCCATTAAAGCTGTCTAATACGTTTTCCAATACAATAAATGAAGCTTTTCGTATAAATACCACATTCATACATTTCAGCTCCGTAACTAATTTATACAGATATAGGAGCTTAAATATCAATTATTATTGCAATCAAGTTAAACATTAATAAAAATTCGATATTTATGATTTCGTTCTTGGAAAAGTTCAACAAATATAGATTCGGAAAATTCAAATATCATCTACCTTTTTGTAGTTTGAACTAAAGCAGATAGCCGAGATAAAGAAATGGTACACGTCGTTGTAAATTTTCAACGAAAAAATAAATATCAAATTTAAATTGTTAAATACATATCCAATAAAATTGAGCAGAAGTATTGAAACAGTTTGCAACATTTTGATAAGTTAAAATCACATTTACTAAAACCGCCAGTTTTGCTCTAATGCTTCGGTTTTAAAAACTAAATATGGTGCAAACTATCTAATTAAATTAGTCAGTCTAGTACAAGAAGCAAACACTATTTATATAATACTATATACCACCACCTTTTATAATAAGGGTAACATTTTTATTAATACAATAAATGTGTAATATTTGTAGGCCGTCAATTAAAATTAAAAGAAAAAAAAACGGTAGGGCAGTGTTACAAAGTGGCCCCTCTTAAAAAGCCATTATAGGTAGAAGTTATGTGTTAGTAATTTAGGAAATAAAGCAATAGACATGGAGATCTAGACAGCGCAATTCGTATCTTGGTAAAGTTATGTAAGTCTTTAATGCTTTACAATATTAATTATCTGGTCACTTTTGACTTTTATCAAAATATTGGCACGTAGAGGAGATGAAGGTAAGGTATATAACATCTAATACAAAAATTGAAGACGAAAAAACTTGAATTCGCCTATTTTCAATATAAGGATAAGTCAGATAAGATGTGGTGTCATAGATGCGTGATGAAAATACCGGAGATAGAAAAGTTTATAAATGAAAAGGGAGGTAATGGAAGTCACTAAAGAAAAGGAGAGATAGAATAGTAGGATACTTTGTAAGACATGATGGGGTAATTACAGATGGGATGTTCTAGTTTAATTAGGTTCAGGATAGAAAGGGATGGGTTTTGTGATTAAAATACAATAGATGTAGAAACTGACTGCTTATCTATTAACTACTTTTTATGTGAATTCCGCTGTTCAGTCATCGTGCTTATGTATAAAGCTTATAATAGGTAACTTGTCTATGATTACTCTAATTAAAAACACTTGTGTTGATGTTAAACAAACAATATCAGCAGTCTTAAATTATTCAATCCTAAATTAAAACAGTAATATCCTATTGTCTTTGATATAACTTTCATTGTTTCTACATTATACATACATCTACAATTTCCTAAAATGCTTGTTTCGAGTTTCTGTTATCAGCCTTTTCTAATATTTTGCGACCAAATAATATTTCCATACTTTAGAAAGCAATTTTAAATTTTAATAGTGAAAGGTAAATATTGGTTTCTTATTCATACTCTAGGCCTTGTGCTAAATTCGGTTATTAAAATTCATTAAATTAGTTAATTAATTATTAAATAAAACATTTACAAATAAAAATATCTTCTTCAACATATATATATATATATGCATAGATCTTATACATAGAAATTTATTCATAATTTTTAACAATCGTCAAAAATAAAAAAAACAATCTTTCTCAGCGAGAAGAAAAAAAAATGTTGTTTAAAAATGAAATCTAAAGGGAATGTTAAAAATCAAGAACATAAACTACTAATAACATATATTAATTTATAAAATTTCTTCCTATCTCGTTATTAAGTAACTATCAATGTTGTACTTATGAAAGTCAAAATAGAAACATGTATTCCAATCAACTTCATAATTAGTTAACAGCTAGATATTGTCAAATCAAAACCAAGCGAAATTCACCTTATAATAAAAGAGTACAAGGGTAGTATAATACTTGTGTGTTTTAATATGAAGCAATTGGAATACACAAGTGTATTTTTTGGTCTTTTATAAATTTAACTATTGTCTATATAATAAATTATTACGATTAAAAAGTAGCTTAGGTAAGTGTATCACAATTAAACGTGCTGTGCACGACTCCCATTTACGTTTAGTTGACTTAGTTCGGAATCATAGTTAGTTTTGTAATATTTTTCCCTATCAAAAAGGGGCGAGACGTATCTTGTCTGAAAAAAAAAAGAATAATGGAGTTAGTTTTTACATTCACTAATTTTATTCAAAGTGTTGTACTAATAAAGAACAATAGCTTCTTTGTCAGTTATTTACGGAAACTATCAGGCATGGATCGCGATGTAGAACTTATTCGGTCACATCAGCACGCTAGATGCAATTTTGGTAACAGTTGGCAGTACATCGCTATCTATTGATATTTACTGCTTACTAAAGTATTTCAAATGCTAGGTATATTAATTCCTAAATAAAATTTTATAAATTCTATATCATCTTCGGTAGTTTAGACAGAAAATTTTTTGATTTAATTTTATCTTTCTTACTACACTTACTATTAAAATAGCTGTTAAAGCTCCCATCGTTAATCCCGCTAAAACATCACTCCAGTGATGTTTATAATCAGATATTCTGGTCATTCCTGTGTAAATTGCTGATGCGATTGCAAGGAATTGAAGCGTATGCTTTAGGAAGTGGGAACCTTCCCATGAAAATCTTGATTGCAAGTATATCTGGAAAAAATAATGTTAGTAATATAAAACGAATACACATCCCAAAAGTAATTTTTGATACTATTTAATAGAAAAATAATAAATACAATTACTTTTGTGTCAGGTTTAAATTAAAATGTAGATTATTAAAATCAAGAATTTGGGGTCTTATTTGAACAATATATCTCATTTTTTAATTTGATAAAAACCACAATATACTCACCGAAAAAAATACCATTGTGAACATGGAGAAACTGGAATGTCCCGAAGGAAAAGACAATCTAAGAGAAAATGTGGAAGAGCAAATGTGAGTTGTTATTGTTACATTAAAACAAAACAGGAAATCTTTAGTAAAAAAAGAGTTTTATAAAGACAAGAAAACGATCACTATACAAAAGATCACAATCAATTTTTGAAGATTAGAATAGATTTACTACATTATTTTTCCTTCTACTTACAGAAAACGTAAACATAAATTACCTCAGTTCCTTCATAATCCTTTTGTCGTTGATATACAAAGGATTTGTACATTTAAAGTCGGTATGGAATTTGTGCAAATTCTCAGGCAAAGAGCAATTGATATCGGGTACGCAGACGGTCAAAAAGTGGGGCCTTAAACGACCTACTGTGTATTTAAGAACGTCTGTGATGAGTTGTGAACAAAAACAACCAAACACAAAGACTGCCAACATAATATAAGCTCTCCATAACCAGTAAGGCAGTTGCTTTCCCACAAGTGCAACTCTTGTGTTATTATTCAAACTCGTAATGACTTCTGTTGTTATTATCTATCAAAGAAACTATAATTACATATATTTTGATTACGAAATGCATGTAAATGTCAGCAATAATTATTAATAGAATCGCCTATTATACATGCAGGCTATTTAGTTATTTTTATTTATTTATGAATGAAATAGTTGATTATTGTAATGTGGGTTCATTCATAGTATTATCGTAACACAAAACTAACAGGCGTACCAAATTAAAGCAATGCCTTTAACTATATATATGTAGAAGGACGCACCTAATTCGTCACCAAACCTTAGATAATACTTAATACTATTGTGATGTTTAATCGTAATTCTCTGCACAAATGAACACCTATTATTATAAGAATATGTACCCTTATAGAATAGCCTTTTACGATTGCTTAGATTGATATTGTCAAAGTAATATATGAAACTATGTTTTTCTTGAGTATTTATAAACTAAGATTATTTATTCCTTATTAACGATAAGCAATGTTAAATTTTCTAAATTTTGGTGAAAACCGCATCTAAATCGGTTAAGAAATAAACCAAAGGTTACTCTTTCATAATTCTTTTGAGTGGCGCCTAAAATTTAATTTATATTCCTTTAAGTACAGGTGTACTTATTTTGACCTAGTTTTTTATGCATCAGCAAGATGGCTACCGATGTAATAACCAATCAGATGCATCTCGCTGCATCGAGTCAGCTTATAACAATAAAAATTGCATATCTGAGTTAGTCACCTGCGATGCTATGGTGGGGTGTACTTCGCTGCAGTTTAGATAAAAATTACGTAAAAATTTGCAATCATTATTTTGTTTGATAAAATTACACTAAGTTGTCAGTAATAAATGAGTAATTGTTTTGAAATGTCTCTAAAAAGAACTATGTTCATTTAAAAATGATTGTTTAAAGTTTATATTGCAATCATGTACAGTATTTATAACAGGAAAACAATTATTTTCGGTTTAAACACTTAACATTGCAAGCTTATTATTTACGGTTTAAAAGGTAAATTGGTAATGCTTTTTAATGCCCGTTTTTATAAACTATTAAATTTGCTTCGTGAAAACTTGATGTCAAAAATAGTTTTAAATATCATAGACATCACTTCCGGACGAAAACTTTTAAAAATAAATTTGAACTTTAATTTTAAAATTTCGGCGTTGTCTGAAACAAAAATAATTTTGCTTCAATGTACGCGTTTGTATACGTATAATAAACGTTTTGTAAACTACACGTTATTTCTTGCCAAGTACAAGATGTCAACGTCTTTTTCGTATCGGCTTGAAAAAAGGGCACATAAAACAGAACTTTTCAAGGTATATGGCTTCTTCAACATGTTCTAATGTGTTTACGACACCATTAGAGTGCATACATTTAAATATTATCTTATTAATAAGGGGACACTTTGTTTGTTTTATGGGGAAGCGAATGAAATTTCTTTCGAATTAATCTTACTAAAACGAATTATCTGGCACGAAAATTAATTACATACATATGTATTATGCATCCTTTATTTATCTATGTAGAATAGGCAAAGAAAGCTACTCAAGATTGGTCACAATTTTTTTTCTAACTTTGGTTTAAGTATAACATAGAAATAAACACAAATTCGTATTTCTCATGAAAAATAGTAATAATTATAACTATTGACGTCCAAATTTTGATTATTAATTATCTAATTAACATACCTAATAGTTAAAAAAAATGGAATTTGATTATTATCTCATGTTCTTTTTACTGCGTGTGAAACTGAAAACAGTTTTTGCTTACAATCAATATGCTAAAACTGCTTGCTGATTATATTATATAACAAAAGTTGTGCTGAATTAGGGATTTCCTATTGACAGAGAGCACTGATTCGTAATTTTGTGCAAAAAAGTATTTTTACACTGTTATAGTAACAAAATGACATCTATACATATGTATACAGAAACACATTTTTTGACAAAAATTGTTCAGTCAAAGAATAAATTATACGTTATTTAGATTATTTAATAATATATAGTGGAAATGTTAATAGATATTTTAAACTGAATAGGAATAAAAGATGTAAATTGTTTAAAAGATGAGAAAAATTGACTGTTTGGCATTTTCTTTCGGGTAATTTTAAATTTAAATATTATAGAATACATTAATAAATAAGAATATAGCTATGTCTTATCTATTTAAAAATCACAATCTGCTGAATAAAAAAAGAAATGAGACCTAAATAGAACCCTTGTTAGAAAAAGATCGATATGGAGGTCAAATATGATTAATTAAACGAAATATTGGTCGATAAAGTACCCTACTTCGTGTTAAGGGCGTAGCTAATCCAATTCCTATTGTTTGTTTTGAAAGGGCAAATTCCATAAACTCAACAAAAAAGGGGAAATCAACGGGAACCCCTTTGATATTATAAAAACAAACGTTGAGAAATCTGTCATTAAGTTAAGAACGACGTCGTTTAAAAAACTATACTTCAATTTAGATTTTAAAACACTTTTTCGTTTTTAATTCCAAATATGCCTTTTACGATTTTATTATGTGTGTATTTGATGTATTTATATGGATTATGCGTATAGATAATAACTAAAAATACACATTTTTACGACGAAATTTTTTTAAAAGCAAAGATAACGAAAAAATTAGGTGTTACGAATTAAATGTTGTAAAAGTACATACCACCGCACTGGTAACTCCAACCCCGAAGATGTACAGATAAAAGCTGGGTACCGTTGACTTATGAAAAGGGTGCAATAATGTTTCATCATTACAGAAAAAGCCCCGATGAAAGGCTTCACCCCAAAGAAACAAGAATAATATCGGGAATCCAACTGGAAAAAAAAAGAGTTTTACTTATTATTTCGATGAAATATCAAACCGTATCATGAAATTCAAATTAGGACGCATCTGTATTCAGTTCTGGTATTGATATATTTTTAAAAATTTTAGTAAAACCTCATCAATAAAAACTATTGTTGAACTAATAAGTTCTGATGCTAAACTTGCACGGCTCAGCGTTTCGTAGCGTTTCTCTTTTGATGTACAACAGCAAAAATATTAAACAATATAAAGCGATAACGCATTATTACATTACCTTATGTGCAAACTAACTTCCGAAAACATTTCCCAATTTTATCATTACATGTTACACTTTTTTGTCAAACACTGATTTCATCATACATTGGGTAACAAATATGTAAATACTGAGTAATATGTTTACTCTTTTAGATTTCCGTATGTTATAAGCTCAATAACATTATGAAAAACTTTTTCTCATATGTAAAAAAAGTCCTACTTGGACCTAGAACAGTTTCGTATACTGTGTACATTTCGCCTTGTTAGGACAACTTCATCAGACTGTACGTGTTCTACGATATTACTAACAATTTCTTAAATAATTAAATTAAATTTCCGAAGTCTAACGAATGAATTTCTTCAATTTCTATGCAATTACTTCACTATTATACCTACGGAAATTCGCTTTTCTTTCAAAATTAGTTTATGTTAACGGTTTTTGTTATAATTTTTTAATACTACGTGTTTCCTAAAAGGTGATTATGTAAGCAAACGTGTCATCCTGTCTAAAACTAAAGTCATAAACGTACACATTTTTCCTGTGTTTGTAATATCTCGGAAGTGTAAAGTCAAGTCTAGAGTAGATAAGGTAAATGACCGTTTTCGATTAATTAAACTAAGAAAATTAAGTGTTCTGAGGTGAAATATTGAGATAACCCTAGTGTTAATAATAAATAAAAACTGTTACCATTATTATAGCATAATCATGAATTTGCCCGTCAGTCTCAAACTAAGTATAAAATACTAACGGATTATTTGGTCCCTACGTAATTAAATCAGATAATTAAAAAAAAATGGAATTTTATTAGCTGTCTGCGTTCCTCAAATATAATAAAAGTACCTAAAAGATAAAAAGTGTTGTATGTTGTTTACTAGAAACATTAAAAATGTAAAATGATGTAACTTCATACTTTCAAAAATAAGTTTTGTTACTCGGAGTCAGTATAAATGTGTACTAATTTTAATGAATCATTCTGGTTGTGTTTTCCTTAGGGTTTTATTAAGTCATGACTATATCAAATATAACATGACACGCGCATAATAATTATTGGATTATTTTGTATTTAACAAATTTGTTATACAAGGGCAAATCTACATAGTTTTGTTTATAAAATCACCCTCCCCCTAGGTTAAATACAATATTTTTTACTAAAAGGAAAAAGGATAGGTAACAAAAATGATACAATAGCATACCTATCCGCATTTTAGTTGAATAAATATTAAAACGTGTTATCTAATCGCATTTTTCACAAAATAATTTGCGTAGATATAAATTCACTTTCGAACGTTAACAATTTTTTTTCAATAATTTGAAAGTATAATTGTGTAGTAGTTTCATAATTTACTGTAATAATAATTCAGTAAAAACAGTATAAGTTTATTACTAAATAATTTTTGCAGATTTTAGACTGGGTGTAATAAAATTAATAATGTGATAAGATTATACATACGTTTTATTAAATTTGAAAAAAAGACATAGACTAAAGATTAAACAATAAGTGAACGTTTTTATGAAATTATTTTCTACATCACGAATTGTTTTCGGAACAGGCCAAAGTACATTTAATATAATGCTAATAGATCTTAAAATAATTTGGTTTAGAGAAACAATTGACTTTTTTATTGTTTTTTGGAAATCCTTTCGACAAAAAAAATGTGTAATTTCTATTTTCGGTAAACTTTATAGAAAATGTTAAATGCTTCGCAAAAGCTCCTAATATATATTTAAAATTAATAATCAATTATAAAACATTTTATGCGTTCATGTTTTTCAAGTATCAGCTTATAATATTCGTACGTACTGACCTAGTTTTTGAATCAATTTCATTATTACCGATTACTATGGTAATCAGAATGATATTTAGAAAAACTAATGGTTAAAGAGTAAATTGAAAACAAATCTACAAAACAAGCAAAATGGAAATTTAATCGCGATTGTTAAATTAAATGGTCAAATTGTATTTATTGCTGTACTTCATTTTTTATTCGCACATAAAGCATGTTTGTCATATAAAAGAAACTATTAAGCATTACTTATTGCCTTTTTATTGTAATGCACAACTGCAAAACATTTGTAGTTCAAGTGAATCATTTTTTATCGGAATTAGGTGCACTTATTATACTTATAACAAATTTTAGGGGCTGATAATTAAAATAAGCATTACACGTTCTTTTTATAAATAAATACCGTTTAATTTTTTTATTTTTAAATTCTTTAGTTTACTCAATATTCTATCAACTAATTGGCATTTAAATTTTATAACGTGCATGAAAAATAATCCGCATATTATGAAATTTATTTAATTACTTTGTCAAGATTATTGAAACTAAAATTAATGAGAATGAATATAATTTATTCAACATAAATGTAAATGTACGTATCTATATTATTTTATTAGTAAATAATAATGATTTGGAAGACTTTTTTTAGTAGAAGGTTTTAGTAAGATGCCTCTATGTAAACAATTGAGGCTGAATAATACTATATATCGAGATTATTACTGGCAAAAAGGTCCGGGGCGAAAAAAAACATCATTAGTAAGACTTTACCTGGAGTTACTGTTGACCGCGGGCGGATTCGCACCTAACCAGGTACAAAAACAGTATTTTTATAAACATGTGCTTCGTATTTCCAGCCTCAATATGTTTTTTTAGTTTTCGCGAATATGATATTGTTCAAATAGAGTACTCAATTCCTAGTATAATTCAAATTAGCTGCAATTTTTTGGCATTCATAAATTTTTGATTTTATTATTTATACATTTCGAAACACTATTTAAGTGCATAATTAACTAGATTTTTTTTTAAAGCATTTATTAATTTAAATTTTAAAAAATTAATCACCATAAAATCAAGTACAAATGCGAGACTGAGACCCTGTATTTTATTAAACTCTGCACCTTGCACATTGTTTAATGTTTAAGCACATTGATAAAAATAACACAACAATGTCAACAATTGACCATAACCTAATTTTTCATCAATGTGATGCCTACCTGCTGCCAGTAGTACTAAATCAATAAAAATTTTGGTCAGGGGCACATTAATGATTCTTGGATTTTCCATTTCTTCTCTGTTGATATTACCATTAAGCGAACAAATGCGCGTTTATTGTGATAAAAATACTCAAAACATCCCGCTTACGACATATCGTAATCCAAGCACAACACTCAACCAGCTGCAACGGCACATTGATCATTGATGCAGCGACCCTCTCATTCTTGATTCTTGAAGCACACCTGTGCGGTTGAAGTTACCGGATCTTTAATAGCACTGAAATGAACTTAGAATGTGAGTGCGCCTTGTTGACAGCCGTCACCGTTGTAAATGATTCAGAGTGTAATCACATTCTCGCAGTACGAACGCCCCACTATTATAATCGTGCTAGTGAACGGATTTTTATGCCATCTACAACCAAATATTTAAAAAGAAAGTTTAAGCGTATTTCAAATTACGCAGTATTTGTTTGTTTCTTATTTTTTTTAGATAATTACAATATTACAGTATCATTTAATATAATGTTCTATCTATTTATAAGCTGCGCAAAATAGGCACATGAAGTTTAATTTAAAGTAAGCAAATAAAAAGAAAAATAACTTTGGAAAACAAATTTCTTCACCTATTGAATGCCTGATACGCAATTTTTATTAAATGTACACTCTGTTGTTGGTAATAATAAGTGTTAAAAAAAATGTCTAAAAAGAAGTAAATTTGTTGAAAAGTTTTTGAGAGTAATGTGGCGTATTTTTACTATAGTAGGAGAAATAAAAATAGGAACCAAAATACTGTTGGCATATTACATTGAATTGTACCTACATTAAGGTATTTATTTATATCTTAAGCTTCTAATTATAACTACCCATTAGAAATTGCATGTTTAATAATAGAATTAGATCTTTAGTAATCACGTGCATGAAAGTCCGCGTTAGGAGACTAAAACTATTTATTACCGCCCGATTTTTGTTACGTACGAATTAGGGCCCTTGCAGGTAAACTCACTTTCTCAAGTAATTATCATTACGTTTATGCCAGTTTCATGACATGTCCATCCAAACAGAATGAAAACAAGCGTCCATGAGTCATAAAGTAGATTTAATTAGTCAGGTAATTTAAAATGCTGGTAGACAGACGTCGCGCTGGCGCAGCGAAGGAATCCCGAGCTCATCTCATCTCATCTGTTGATGTTTAATATGGGGTGAACATAATTAATAATTGGATATAAATACATTTTTTTACTAGGCAAAAACCTTTACCTTAATTAAATTTACATGTAAAAATTGTAAATGTATTTTTCGATAATATTGATTGAATATGTTACACTTTTCATTATTTCTTTTATCTATACACATTTTTCAAAAGGTATACGATAAGAAAATGTATTTACCACCAATTATGTCTGTTTTAGAAATCACGAGTATTTTGATAAACGAGTGTGCAAACCTGTTTAAACTTGATTTATATATTTAAGTATCATTAAAATATTTTTTTTACTTTCGCTTTGATTTTATTTGTGAAGATAAGTAACATATTACATATTTTTGGAAAGATTAAAAGTCAAGAATTAATTTAATGATTAAAAAAACCCTCGAAATATGACTTTTATTAATCTAAAAGAAAGCAAGAACTAAGTCTAACATCTTAATCTATTTTATTTCGAGTTATAGAAGTTTGATAGCATTACGTGATGATGAGGGCCTATTAAGCTATTAAATGTAATGAATGCTGTCTTTTGTCAATGACAAATTGCCGCTGCTTTTGGTGTTGTATGTATTAATTTTTTGGGAGCCCCCCACGTATATGTATAGTGGCCGACTATAATTATAATGGTAGTGTGAAGATTTTTTTTCCAACTAAATAACAATAGAATGTATTTATAAACGTATATCTTTCGGGATCGGTACTGAAATGCCTACTCAACTTCCTGAAAAGTTTAAAAAACTTTTTTGTTTTATTCCTGGTAATGTTTACTGATTTAAAAAATTTCCGTAGCGTCGCATGTTTGTGATGTGATTTTCGCACCTTAATCTGTATTACGTACCTAGTGTATAGGCGGAAATAAGAAATTATTATAAATATGTATTTTGAACATTGTGTCACGCGCTAAATGTAAATAAATTAGGCATCCATGAAAAATTTCGTTATATTAGGCATGAAGTACCTACATAAGCGACTGGACAAGGAATTCATTATCTTTTAATTATGTTTTTAGTTGATTTTGAAGTAATAATAATGATTTAGATATCCGATTTCCGCTTTCTTTTTTTCAGTTCAAACTGTTTAGGATCGTTTGTAATATCTAACAGAAAAAAAAGTTTAATTTATGGGACAACAAAACCATCTTTGTACGTACAATAAAAATAAAATGCTCTGCACGGTTTCGATAATATTCAGTCGTGATATTAACAATAATTTTTTTCCAATATGGTAAAGTGTTTTTTTTTATTTCTTTGCGATCAGTAGGTGATTACAATTCAACATAGGTATGTTATGTATTGAACAAATACAAATATACCTAGTATTATATAAATAAAACAATTTCAGATACTTTAAAACGCCTATTATAATTATTTTGAGTTTTTACGTAATTATAATGTAAATGTCGTCGCAACGACGTACACCCTCCAACGCAGCGAGGGTGACTAACTTGGATATGCAAGTTTAATTGTTATAAAGCGGTTCTAGTCGAGTGCACGCATCTGATTGGCTAGTGCGTTGGCGGCCATGCTGCTTATTCGCAAAAATTGGGTCAAGGTCAGTGCACCTGCAGTTACGGTTGCAATAGGAATTCCCTTCGGCAATATTAGGCGCCACTTGTATTTACATAGATATGAATGAAATTGGAGTCATTTTAAAAGGTATTATTAGTACCAATATAATAAAGGTTGTTTATTATTAGAAATTAAATGCAGGTAGTGGTAATATTACATAAATTCGGTCTATTTAATAGCGAGAAGAATATTTTATTATTTATCGAACTTTACAATTTTTTGGATGTGGATTTATTTGATTGGACCTCCCCGGAACTAAATCTTATTCATCCTTTTCGGTCTCTCTGTAAACGTTAATTTAATCAAAGAAGTTAAAGTATGTTCTCTAATTGTAGATATTTGCTATTAATTGTAGTATTTCGTAATGTTCCACAATGTCCTTACAAAGGATAACTGTTTTTATCAAATTAAATCTAGTGTGGGTTAAGTTTTTGAAAATGTGTAGTTTATAGTCCAATACAAATTAGAGAAAAAAGAGTCCTGTCGTGCAAATTGTCTTGTCCTTGTGATCCTTTGAAGAAAAGTTATAAAGCTTCTGTTAGATGGCGGCACATGGATGGTTGTGCGATCATTGATGAGCTTCGCTGCGCAAGCTTTGGCTTTTTGTTCTTGAAATTTAAATTATGTGCTTATAACATCCCCAGATATATTAAATAGAGAACAACAAACGGCTACATTACATTTTTTTATGATATTCTTACGGTTTATATGACGTATAAAAGAGAAAATTACATACATATAATATAGATATAATTTTTGAATTCACAAAATGTATTATTGTTAGTGGAAACTTTTCTAATTGAAATGGGGAAAAAACGAAATGTATAGGTACTAATATGAGAAATGACAAAAATTCTGTGCTTCACCTTTGATAAATAACAAACAACATTCATATTATATTTCTTTATTTGCTTTATTAATTTTGTTACATTATTAGCGTTGTGATATTTGGTATATTGGGTTGTCTACCTATAAGAGTAATTTAATTTATAGCAAAAAGAGAAGTATGATTTAACACCTCTAACTTCTTCTAAATTAAAAAAACATAGTCTAAAGATGAATATTAATCAATGTAGTTAAATGAAATCGAAATAATTGCTTAATTATGGCCTTTGTTTTAAATTGTCCCGGCGCCTCCACCAAAATTTTCAATAAATTTTTGTAATAATTGCTGATAATGTTTGTATATTTTCATGATCGTCTTATTTTCGGCATTAATACTATAATTTATTATAAAAATTAACTAAGTGCTCATAATTGGTAACGAAATACTTTTTTGACGGCTCTAAATAAGATCGTGTAGATAAGGACTTTCAACTAAATTTTACAAGAACATATTTTAAAAAGTATTACTGATTTATTAGTTATTTATACGCTATTTTTTATGGGGTGTTCGAGAATAAGATTGAGCTTCATGTGAAAAGTTGTTTTACTCGGTTTCTAGTTCTATTATTACGGTTGTGATATTTGGTATGTTGGGTTGCCTGCCTATTATAGTAATTTAATTTATAGCAAAATGAAAAGTATGAATTAATACCTCTAACATCTTGTATATGGAAAAAACATAATCTAAAGATGAATATTAATCAATGTAGTTAAATGAAATCGAAATAATTGCTTAATTGTTATCTTTGTTTTAAGCAGACCCGGCGCCTCCACCAAAATTTTCAATTATACTCTTCAATAATTATTGATAACTTGTGTATCTTGTGATTTTTTTATTTTTGGCATTAAAGCGATAATTTACAAGATTAACCGCCCACATCAACAAATTCTAAATTTTGTGGTTCTTCTTGCATTCAAATAAAATCGTACAAATACTCAATACATAATGAGTTATTGTACTTTACGTTAAATTTAGTCAGCAAAAGAACTGACGATTGCAAATTTTCTAATCTAGGCAAAGCCTTAGTGCTTCGAGGATAAAATTGACTTCCAGTCCTTTCAGGACTTATAATCCTTGTCATGAACAAGTGGCTACAGCTTTGTAAAAAATTACGTTTAAAAAATGTTTTGGTAATTTGTACATCAACAACTTTGAAATATTTTGCAGAACTTTTAAAATGATTAGGGGTTGAAAATAATTACTTTTTGAAGTATGTAATTGTTAATTCCAAATCGTTGGATTTTTAAGTGTAATTGTATGATTTTCAAGGATTAAAGCTTTGGGCTTTGGACTTGACGGCCTTTTACACCATAAGACGAAACCTTGGAATCGGTTTAAAAATAAAATATCTTTTTGCTACTATTCTTTACTTTTATTCTGCACTCATATGACAATAAATTAAGTTCTGTAACTGTAACGATTACCTTAATCCAATAACTCCACGTTATATTTGGATAAATAGTGACTCAATTTATTTTTGACTTTCCCGCATCGTTTCTTGTGCGACTGGTCGTCCTGACAATAAACTGACGCGTACATCATTCCAAATTCATCCAAAAGCATTGAAAAACAACTGGGTACAAAACCATCCGGGCACCAACATTTTTGTCGTTCGGCATTGGTACAGCTACTTTCCAGGCATCCCCAGCACGATTTCAAGATGCAAACGTCGACGTTATCGTGTTTGTCCAAACACACGACGTGAAATCCGGA